CGCTGTGTCTCTCTCTGTCAAATAAATAAATCTTTAAAAAAAAAAGACTTTTTATTTATTTATTTGACAGAGAGAGAGAGACACAGCGAGAGAGGGAACACAAGCAGGGGGAGTGGGAGAGGGAGAAGCAGGCTTCCCGCGGAGCAGGGAGCCCGATGCGGGGCTCGATTCCAGGACCCTGAGATCATGACCTGAGCTGAAGGCAGACGCTTAATGACTGAGCCACCCAGGCGCCCCCTCTGCACAAAACAGACAATGAGAGGGACCCCCTGAATTTCTGCCCACTGGGAAGATTTCCCTTCATCACTTGGGTCTAACGCAGCTGCCGTCCACAGTGTATCATAGTGTCTATCCGTGAACCAGGTGTACTTTTTTCTCCTCCACTAACTGATGATGAGGAATTCCTAATAAGGTCATGGGTACGGGTTGAAGGAGAAGTGGCAAAAAACAGGGGTAGGTACCATGGGAGTTTGAACCATCTCCTTGGTCTCCCATTTGCCACCTCCATTTTTTTAAGGAGTGCTTCTGTGCATATCAGTATTATTGTTCAGGGGATCAGATAACACCCAGTTCACTGGTCAGCTCTGGTGGTACAATCACTGGTTATCTGCGGTGTGTTTCAGTCTCTACCGGGGCCAGGAACAAGTCATAAATTTCTTCTTAAATGGACAGAATTGTCCACAAGAAAGACTATGGTTTGGGGTGCCTGGGTGGCTCAGTCGTTAAGCGTCTGCCTTCGGCTCAGGTCGTGATCCCAGGGTCCTGGGATCAAGTCCCGCATCAGGCTCCCTGCTCAGTGCGAGGCCTGCTTCTCCCTCTCCCTCTACCTGCCGCTCCCCTTGCTTGTGCTCTTTCTCTTTCTCATAAATAAATAAATAAATAAATAAATAAATAAATAAATAAATAAATAAATAATAAAACCCTTCTAGGTGATCAAATGAAAAAATTAAACCCCAAATCCCAGGTTAGGGCATTTGTCAGTGAATTTGGCCCAGTCAAGTCTTACAATTCTTCCCCTTGGTCTAACATCCTTGAATCCACTCCCACAGGCTCCTGCCAATATAGATTGACAAAGTCTTCTAAGAATTTCACTGTATAGACAATCTTCTTGTGGTGTAGGATTTGTATTTCTCCTCCGTGCCACACTCCAGTTATGGGCTTGGAGGCCCATTAAGAATGATAAGAGTATATTCTGAGGAGCGTAGGGATCAGCTTTCTGGAAGGACTGCTCCTGGTTGGACCACTGAAAGTCTTTTATGCAGAGAAGGGGTACATTCTGACAGGTATGGAGGGGCTGCCTCTGCTGGCAAAGGAGGTTCAGGGGAATTTGCCCGTGGAAATTCTCAACCCATACCATGTCTCCCCAATGCCCACTCCTTCCTTGTTAGTACCCTTCATTTAATGTGAGGCACCTGGGCTGGGGATGCCGTGACTCTGCAGCCTTTACCACCAGAACCTGGGTTCAGTCCTGCTACCCTCCCACAGCCCCAGGGCATAAGGGACTCCTTCAAGCTCTCATGGGAGCCTTCTACTGTTCACGCATCTTCTCAATTATGTGGTCATAATTTTTCATTTATTTCCTCTATATTTTCTCTTGGGCTGTAGGAAGAAGCCAGGTGCCTCCACTGTCTTTATAATGAGTATTGTTGCCACAGGGCCATGGGCCACAGCCACTCGATACACCGACTGGCCTTCCAAATGCACGACATCCCATGCGACTACTAATGATCATCTGAGTCATGGCGATACTACCGTGATACTACCATGATACGGAGCATCAGCTGGGCGCTTGCCGGAGGCAAGTCCTAGGGGTGGGGGCATGTCTGGGAGCAGGAGGCTGTTCCTGGGAGGGCTGGTCAGGTCTCCACTGGTCTCCCAGGTCCTGGCGGAGATGGAGTCACAAGCAGAGGGCAGTTGCCTGGCATCAGGGTTGAGACCAGGAGGCGGTTCTTCCTCTCCATCTTAGGGGGCTCTCTACAGGGGTCTTAGAGTCCACACCATCTGTCCTCCGGAAAAATGGCAGCCCTTGGCTGAGGAAGGAGCTTCACGTGGCCTCTGTGCCACCTCTCGGGCATGCTTGCACACCTCCACTGGAGCCACTCACTGCCCCTGGACCAGCTGCCCTGCTGGGGTGTCCTTGGCTGTTAAGGCTTCTGTCCTGCCTCCCTCTAGCCTCAACACCCGGGTTCCTGTTCTACACTCTGCCCACAGAACAAGCTGGCCCCTCATCACCTTCATCAGCGCCAGATAGTCAAGAAGCATCACAAACATAAAGTACTAATAAATACTCAAAAGTCAGGATAATCACAATAGTGAACACACAGTGCATATTATGTTTAGGGCTGTTCTAGGTGCTTGGCATGTAATAATTCGTTTAATCTTCACACTCTCAGGATAGACCTCTGTCTTGTTCATTTCTGGGTCCCCAAGACCCTGTCCAGCACTTACTAGCTAGATAATAAGTATATGTTGAACTATTACCCCTATTCGGTGATGAGAAGACCAAAGCACAGTGAAGTTGTTACTTGCTGCAGATCACACAGCTTAATCTTAAGGGGCAACGCTGGGATTTCAATTTATCGCTCTAACTCCAGACTCCATGGGTGCCCTCAACTCCCATGGGTGCTGCCTTTTTTTTTAACGTCATGTCAACCATTCCCTCACCTTTTCTCTTCCCAGCAAAGCATCCCCAAATCCTTTCCTCTTCCTCATAGAGGCAGTGATGATGACGTGACATGAATCGTCACTTATATGGCACGTGATATGCTCCTGTCTCCTTGAAGCCTTGTTATAGCCTCTATAGTGTGAGGTTTGGAAGAGCAGGGGCCGTCCCAGGCCTGCTCAGTGCTGTCTCCCCAAAGCCAGGCCTGGCACATAGCATATGCATAATAAATGGAAGTTGTGTGAGATGATTTTACAGATGAGGGACTGAGGTTCGTAGAGCTTAAGAAGCTTGCCTGAGGTGGCAGGGGCACCTGGGTGGCTCAGTCGGTTGAACGTCTGACCCTTGGTTTCAGCTCAGGTCATGATCTCAGGGTGGGGAGACTTGAGACACACGTCCGGCTCCACGCTCAGCAGGGAGTCTGCTTGAGATTCTCTCTCTCCCTCTCCGTCAGCCCCTGCTCGCTTGCTCTCTCTCATAAATAAATAAATATTAAAAAAAAAAAAGAAGCTTGCCTGAGGTGACAGAATTAGTAAGTGACAGAACCCTGCTTTGAAATCAGTCTCCTGCACCATGCTGCCTCTCCGGGGCTCAGTTTCCTCATCAGTTAAATGGGGTGGAATTCTAAACCTCCTCAGGGTTGTTGCAGAGACAAAGGGTACAACGGTTGTGCAGGTGCTCTGCACACGGCATGGGGCTTCCTGGTTTCCTTCTCTTCATCACTGAGGCCCATGCAAGGCCAGGTGTAGAGCAGGAGCTAGGGGGGTTTCGGGGGGCCCCAGAGAGTGAGGGTGATGCTACAGGACATCAGCAAAACTGGGATGGACAGATGGATGTGTCAGCACCTGGGTGGGTGAACGGAAGGCTGGACAGATGGATGGATGAAGAAATAAGTGTTCTTTTGAAGAAGACATTAATGTGGCAATGTGGACTCGAGCTGGTATTTTAGCCTTTATCCAGCAGAGGGCACCAAGGCTCCAATCATTGGCGTGGAGGAGCATGGCTTGGCCCCGCAGGAGGGCACCGCAGCCCGCAGGGAGCCTGGCCGGAAGCTTGCTGGCAGCTCTGGCCAATAAAAGGAACGGAGACATTGGGGACCACACCAGAGTCCGTGGGGTGAAGAACAAGGAGAAAAGAGCACAGGCTAGAGACGGACCCAGGAGTCCACCCCCACTAATGGGGACCTTGGGGAGTACTTCACACCCAGTGCTGTTTCCTTTTGTAAAATGCGAAAATAAGTGTCCGTTTGGGCTCGTCATGAGGATTAAATGAAATATACTCTAGGGAGTGCACATTGTTGGCTCAGAGAGGTTGGTCTGACCTACCCAAGGCCACCCAGCAAGTACGAGGTGGTCTCTGAGGATCCTAAGGAGATGTCTAGGAGAACAGAGTTGTATTAGGGTAAAAGTGATCCTGCAGAATGGAGTGAGTTCTAGGTGAGTGTGGCAGTTTTGGGGGAGGGAAGCTGCTCAGAGGCTGGAAGAGGTTCTTGGAGACTGAGTTAAGAGAGCCCCCATCCTGCCGCCCGGGCTGGATACCAAAGACCCACCCGACAGCCAGCCTAGGAGCTCCAGGTGCATCTCAGTAGCGTGGGAAATTGATTTTAATGTGGAACTTGACTCACACGTCCTCTGGCAACGGGGTGTGAATTTGCCACCTAACAGGTACTTCAAGGGTTTTTCCGTTGGCGTGTATTTTTCTGTGTTGCTGTCACTCCTGAGTCCTGCCAGGGATTTATCACAGGGACCAGGCCTGGCTTGAGCTGCCTCAGAATGAGCTTGACGACAGGCGACCCCCAGGCGACCCCCTGCAGAAGGCCAAGCGCTGCCTTCTAGATGGCTTCAAAAGCATAAACAGAAACCCGATGCCATGTTTCCCTGGAGGAGCAAGCGGCCTTGCCAGGTTGAGGAAGTGTCCGGGGCAAGCAACAACAGCAAGCGAGCCCCCAGTGGTAAGCTGGTCCCCTGGCCTGGACCGCGGCCCTGGTCCTGAGCAAGAATATTGTCCACACTGCCATGCTCCTATTTCTGAAAGTGGCTTGCACAGGATCAGCCTCCCTTTTGGGAAGAGGAACCAAAAGTGGAGCAGTGATGCTTTGTTTTGCCCTTTTTCTTCTAGAAACTGCCAAGGAGCTGCAGGCAATGTAGAGTTGGGTGGGACCTGGGCCAGCCTGGTCTAAACCTGCTCCTGCTGGGGCCCCTGAGACTGACTCAGGCTTCAGCTGCCCCCACTGCTGTTCCGCAGGGTGAGCCCATAGCCTCCGCCACCTGGAGGGTCTCTCTCTTCCCTGGCCCCAGGACTCCCTGTCCCCGGCTCAAGCAGGATCTTTGCATTCATTCTTTTTTTTTTTTTTAAGATTTTATTTATTTATTTGACAGAGAGAGACACAGCAAGAGAGGGAACACAATCAGGGGAGTGGGAGAGGGAAAAGCAGGCTTCCCACAGAGCAGGGAGCCCGATGCGGGGCTCGATCCCAGGACCCTGGGATCATGACCTGAGCCGAAGGCAGACGCTTAACGACTGAGCCACCCAGGCGTCCCTTTGCATTCATTCTTTTTTTTTTTTTTTTTTTTTTTTTTGCATTCATTCTTGATAAAGTTCCTCTGGGCACATCCCATTCACGAATCCAGCTTGTTGGGATTTACCTCTTCATTCGTCTGGGTCATCGACGTTTTCTGATGTTCCACTCTGGGCCAGCTCTGTCTTTGGGACCAGGAGACAGGGTGATGAAGCCGGGGCCCCTGTGAAAATCTCCTCTCAGGAGCGACGCAGAGGGTTGCCACCTAGTGGAGGGCAGCAACCCAGAAGGAGGTGGGAACGATGCTCTGGAAGGAATCCTGCCGGCTGGTGAACCTCCTCCCCCACCACCCCCCACTGCCAGCCTCATGTGTGTGCGGGTCGTGGAGCCTGCCCATGGCTGCTTCACCCCGATCTCCTGCACACTGACTGAGCGGGGCAGAAGCAGCCGGAGGGCAGGTTGGTGGAGCCCCGCCCACTGACAAACGTCCAGCAGCAGATGGGGAGGAGTAGATGGAAGAACGAAGAAGACCGAGAGCAACAGTGTGATGGGCAAGCAAGCCCCCCTTGTCCCATGGGCCCCTGTCAGTGTCCGGGAGTGCGTGGGGCTGAGAGGCGGCAGTACCCAGACAGGGCAGCACAGGGTCTGTAGAACTAACCGGGGCTGGGAACAGAACTGAAGGCACAGAGCCGACACTAGGCCATGGAGGCCTGAGGAGCCCACTGTGACTCCCTGTCAAGGGGCCCTGGGCAGTGAGTGGGGGAAGGAGGCCGCTCCTCCCTCTGCCGGCTGCCCACCAGCCGGGCGCCTCCAAACAGGCAGCCTGCCCCTTCCCACTGCGACATCTGAGCCCACTCTGTGGGACCTTCTTGCTTCCCTTAAGGACACAGGACGTGTGATGTGGCCCGCTCCCAACCCTGACTGAAACACTCTCTCGCCCCTAAAATGTCGATCTCAAGCCTTTGGGCCGAACTCTGGCAATACCAGGGCAGCTGCTGGGATATCAGCTCTGACTAACTTTCTCTCTGTTGTGCCTTCTCCAGGACTCCAACCAGCCGTCCAGAGCTGCTTCGCAGGATCTCCCGGCTTCTCCTCCCCCTGCCACATTCGCATCCTTGGGTTGTCTCGGCGGGTAGAGCGCAGGGGCAGGTCAGACTCATATGGGGCTGAAAACTCTGCCCGATGGGCCTCTGACCTGGGGAGCCTAAGCCTCCTCACCTGTGAAATGGAGGACATTTGCACCGGGCTCCGGAGGCTGCTGCGAGGCTTGGCGGGGGGGGGCGGGATGGGGGACAGGCGCGCCTGGCACTGGTTGGGAGATGCCCCGTAAATGTCTATGAGGCCTGGATTCTGGAAAGCCTGGGTCCAGACTGCAAGGTGCAAAACCTGTGGGTTTGATGGGAATGAAGCCAGATCCTAACCCTTGGACGGGTCTGAATTTTCTCTCTCAACTGAGTCTTATCTTTTTTTTTTTTAAGATTTTTATTTATTTATTGAGAGAGAGAGAGAGAATGGTAGAGAGAGAGCATGAGAGGGAAGAAGGTCAGAGGGAGAGGCAGACTCCCTGCTGAGCCCGGAGCCCGATGCGGGACTCGATCCCGGGACTCCAGGGTCATGACCTGAGCCGAAGGCAGTGGCTTAACCAACTGAGCCACCCAGGCACCCTCAACTGAGTCTTGATCCATGTCTCCGTGGAGAACATTGCGAGGGCTGGAAGCTTGCAATTAAGGCCAGAATAGACTTCAAAGAGAGGAAACAAGGTTTCTATGAACTTGAGTGCCAGCAGCAGTTCCTGGTGAGAAATGATTGCCCGTGCACCTACCTCAGCTGTGTGTGTGTGTGTGTGTGTGTGTGTGTGTGTGTGCCCATGCCTGCTCTCTGGGTCTGGCTGTGACAGGACTGGACACCCTCTCAGAGTGCTGCGTGTGACTTCATGGCGCTTCTTTGAGACAGAGGCAGCCAACAGGGCTCCACATGCCTGGGGCCCGCCTCACAGCTGCTTCTTCCATTATAGGGAGGAGCCTGGCTCTGGTTGGGGCCGCGTGGCAGCGGGCGCCCAGCTCCTAGCCCCAGGCCAGGGCATGGATGGGAAAGGGGACCCTGGGCAGGGACGAGGAAGGGGTGCGGACCCAGAAACATTGGTTCAGGAATAGGCTGAGAAAGCAATGTGGGGCAGGGAGCTGGGGAAGGGGGGCCAGTGATCAGAAGGAGAAACAGAATTCAGAGCAAAGTTGTCATAGACAGGGACACGGTAGAAAGCCAGAGAACAGGGCAGAGAGACCCAGAGGCTAGAGAGTTGGAGGCAGTAGAAAGAGAGAAAGGGGGAGAGAGAAAGAAGAGATTCAAGAAAGAAAATTAAGATAGGAAGTCGATGTCATAGAAGAGAATAAAGTCACAGGAAGAGGAGGGAGAGGGACTCCCAGAGAATCAGAGGCAGAGAGGAAAGAGCATACGATGAGCAGACAGGGAGCGGGAAGAGAGATGGCAGAGCCAGGAGGGGCCTTAACATCTACATTCAACCCTCCCCCCATTTTCCAGATGAGAAAACTGAGGCCCAGCAAACTGGTGGCAGAATCAAGCTTAGCACACGGGAGACAAAGATGGTGAAAAGAGAAAGAAACCTGGAGAAAAGTTGAGAGCCTGACAGAAAGCCCCAAAGGGGAGGGGAGCAAGAAAAGATGGGTGTGGTGGGGCTGGGGGCTGGCCGTAGACCAGGCCGCTGGAGCAGGGAGCCCCAGGTGCCCAGAGCAGTGAACACCCACCTCTCCCTCATTTGGGGGTCTGGCAGTGACCCACAGAGCCAAGGACCTCCCACCTGAGCCCCGGTCCCAGGTAAAGGCAGAGAAACTGGGGGTGTGGTTTGGGCTGAAGAAGCACCAATGCAATGGTAACCATTTTCACACACTTACCAGAAGGGAGCACATGGAGGTGGGCACCCTGGCAGGTCTAAGTAATGTCAGCTGACGGCAAAGTAGGAGATGGCATAATTGTGAACAACAGAGGCCAGAAGTTACCACGTTTCTCGAGGTGGGACCATGCAGGAGCAGGAGCATCAGAATTCTAACAGTGAGTGTGCTTCCCAATGATCCACAGTTATCAAGAATGGGTAACCCACCTTAGTGAGCATTGCTCACAAAGATGTGGAAGCATTGCATGCATTTGAGGGAGAGGGTCTCAAATCAGGAGTCCAGCAATGTGTTCTGAGGGTACAAGATTTATTTTTTTTAAGATTTTATTTATTTATTTTTAGAGAGCGAGAGAGACAGCACAAGCAGGAGGGCAGGGAGAGAGAGAGAGCAAGAATCTGAAGCAGACTCCACGCTGAGCGCAGAGCCCGATGCGGGGCTCGATCCCGAGACCCCGAGATCATGACCTGAACTGAAACCAAGAGTCAGATGCTTAACAGACGGCGCCAGCCAGGCACCACCTAATGGTATAAGATTTCTAAGGGCATTTTAAACTGTGTGTTTTCCTTATTTTATATTATATTAAAAATTCTCTTTCTAGTTGATCAAGGGTACACTTACCATGATGAGCACCGAATAATGTATAGAGTTGTTGAATCACTATATTGTATACCTGAAACTAATATAACACTGCATATTAACTCTACTGGAACTAAAAGAAAAAGAAAAAAAAAACAAAAAATGATCTTCCCAGTTACGAAAACCAATGGTCTCTTTTTCACCGACAATTCAAAATTAAAAGAGATTTTTGTAGAATAAAGCTTGAGTTTCTTGCTGAGGGTTACTCAAGAAAGACTGAGCTTTGAGGGGATCAATTCAACAAATGTTGACCATGTGGGGGACTGGGCCCGGCCTGGGGTAGCCAAGCACAGAAAGGGTGAGGAAGGCATCCGCACAAAGGAGGGGGGCAGTGGCTGTGATGGGAGGTTGGTTATATGTATCAAATAAGTAAATATATTCAGGATAATGGGAGCCAGGTTTCCTCACTGTTGGAGGAGAAAGTCACAAATATGGAAAGAGACACAGAGAATGAGCTGCGTGGTGTGGGAGTGGAATTGGAGGAAGGGCGGTGAACTCAACAATTTCACAGATAGACATGCTTTTAGCTCTCTCCACTGAGAAGACCTGGGAGACGTAACACCCCGATAGCCATGAGCACCCCAAATACCTAGATCTTGTCTTCTAAAAGGATCCAGGGCTCCTTGTAGAAATGGCTTATTCCTGAGGCCCAGAAAGAATAAGATGAGCCTGTTGTTCTGAAAAGTGAGGAAGTACTTAAAGGCAAGGATCTATCCCAAAGTCACAGAAGTCACTGTGTCTGATCTGGAACACTTTGAGCATCAAAATAAATAATGATAGTAACAGATTACAGCACATTGAATAAAATAAGAAACCATGAGTCCAAACAGGGAGGAAGGGAAGGGAGGAGGAGGAAGGGAGAATTTGATGGGGAACGGGATATTCTTATCATTTCAAAATACCTCCCCACAAAAATACTCTTTCATTGCAGATGGAAAAGGAATAGTTTCCTGAGTAATGTTCCTGCGCAGAAGCTTGCCAAACACAATCAGGGTGATCAAACAGCACCAGTAAGAAGACAAACTGAAATCATGTGCCGCCTGATAACGTGCGCTGAGAACACAGGATCGCTTCTGTGGTATTCCTGCTAAAGATTCGAAACCTGAATCTAATCACGAGAGAATAGCAGACAAAACCAAAACTGAAGGGCATTCTACCAGGGCAAGGCAAGAATCACTGACTTATAATCTTCACAAGTATCAAGATCATGAAAGGCAAGGGAAGGCCTGGGAAACTGTTCCAGTCTGAAGGAGACTAAGACACAGACGTGACAGGAGACTCTGAACTGGATCCTTTGGGTATAAAGGATAGGATTGGGACAACGGGAGAACTTTGAAGGGGGCCTACGGGGTGGATTACGGTCACGTACACATGTTCATTTCCTGACTTTGATGGTCCTGGTGTGCTTGTGAAGGAAGAGGCCCTTGTTTGTAGGAAACACTAAAATATTCACGTGGGAAAAAAATACATTATGTGTACTTGCAACTTTTCTGTAAATGTGAAAATTGTTTTAAAAATTTTTAATCAAGGGGCACGGGGGCGGCTCAGCCAGTTAAGGGTTCAAAGATCCAGCCCCACGTCGGGCTCTGCACTCAACAGGGAGTCTGCTTGGGATTCTCTCTCTCTCCCTTTCCCCCTGCTCGTTCTCTCTCTTTCCCTCTCAAATAAATAAATAAATCTTTTAAAAATTTTTAATAAAATTGAAAATAAAATTTTTTAAATAAAAAATTTTAATAAGACTCAGGATAAAGGATTTTTCATCAGAGCAATGACAAACCTTCAAGGAATTAATAACCTGAATTCATACAACATTTCCGTACCAAAATCAGAGTCAGTGTGGTAAAGGAAAATTATAAGCCTATAGGACCTATGAACGTGTTTGTAAAAATCCCAAATAGGGGCGCCTGGCCAGCTGAGTCAGTTAAGTGTTGGACTCTTGGTTTCAGCTCAGGTCATGACCTCGGGGTCATGAGATCGAGCCTGCATCAGGCTCCACACTGGGCATGGAACCTACTTAAGATTCTTCCTCTCCCTCTGCCCGTCCCCCTGCGCGCGCTCTCTCTCTCTCTCTCTCTCTCAAATAAGTAAATAAATAAATAAATCTTGTTTTAAAGTCCTAAATAAAACACAAGCAAAGTTTATGGCACCATACTCCAGGAGACTTTCCTGGGAGCCATTGGCTTGTCCCTTGCTCCTGAGCAAGAGCCTGTGCAGCTGGGGCGCCATCTTGGGTCATGAGGGTCAGCCTGATCGACAGGTGACAGGGTGCAAAATGGGAGAGCCTGGGGCATTGAGGGCTTCCTGGAGTACAGTTGCCCAACTACTCCTGAATGCCCACTCCAGACCTGTATGGGGGGGAGACATAAACTCCTCTTATGTTTAAGCTGCTATTATTTTGGCTTTTCTGTCATTCACTGCCAAATCTTATGTTACCTATTATTCAGCAATAGCGGATTAAAGGAGAAAAGCTGTATTTTCATCCTGTAGATGAAAAAAAAGGATTCAATACTATTCAATGTTTACTCATGACTAAACAAACAAAACAGCTCTTAGACTCAGAGGGCAGAAAAACTTTCCAAATCTCACAAATAATACCTACAAAAT